TGCAATTTTATTAATACATCTAAAGAAGTGAGGACCACAAGGCTGATTGCCAAAAAAGCATCATATCTCAAGCTAAGCCTGGAGCCACCAATAAAGTCCCTACATGATCTATGATGTAATGCTTATTTTCCAGGAAAATTTCAAAACCGCATTGCATTTGTTCAATAAAATTCCAACGCATCAAAAGTTAATAAATTGAGGCTATGAAAGCTTTCATTTTGGGCATGAAACTTTAGTTTCAAGTTACATCATGGCGTGTGAAAAATAAAGGCATTGTACTTATTATGTTAATTGTATGATTATTGCTGCAAAGTACCAATCCATCCTTAAAAATGATTAGTCTGTAAACTAAACGGGATTTTTAAATAATGCAGGTAATTTAGTGTTAACAACTGGGTTGGAAACGTAAATTAGCCACTGTAAAGGGTAAAAAAGCTGACGTTTCGAGCGTTAGCCCTTCGTCAGAGCAATTTCGTTTTCAACCCAGTTGTTAACACTAAATTACCTGCTATACTCTCCCACCGACGCAGCACCACAGTTTCTTTAGAAACTTACCCCTTTATTCATTTTTAAATAATGATTACTTTGCGTGTTGCATCTTCATGCTGGGTTAGTACTGCAATGCGTCCCTCGGTGGTCGCTGCAATCCCATCCAGAATAACGGACTCTTCCATAGGGATAACAGTACTTTGCACAAACTCACCATCTTTGGTGCATATTAGTTCAGTCAGGAGGTCTGAAATATATTCCTTAAGAGCGGCCACAATGACTTGTTGACTTTCCTTGTGAAAAGCAATTTTTGGATAGGTCGTAGACATTGGCAAATTGAACTTGTTTATATAATCACCTTGTTCGCTGAATATGTGAACACGTGACGGAGCGCATCCTTGCACCACCATAACTCTGCCGTCACTTACAGTAGTGATGTCGTACGGGCTCCTCAAGATTTGTTCTCCAAAACTGCAAACAAAATCACCATTAGTCTCATATACATTTACAATCCCAAAATTTTCTTTACAGTAACTCTTCAGTACCAGCATTTTACCACTATCACTGACTGACAATTTACATAGCTTAAAGTCGAAGCCCATCCTCCTGATTTGAAGCGTGTGATGCTGGTCAGCGGTTTTGTTAAACCTAAAAATCCAGTTTGAGTCCATACGACTCTCCTCGCTGACCAGGACATAAATGTTGTCATTCGTGTCTGTGGCCAGAGGAAACGACCAGGTTTTAATTAGTAGCACCTTACCGCTGTCATCAATAAGAGGAGGAATTCTGAAACGTCTCACAAAATTGCCATTGTTGTTGAACACTTTGATTGTCAAGTCATTGTATGCTACAATATATTGCCCGCTTGAGTTGGTAGTGATACCACGCGGATTATTTAACCCCTGAACCTCTACGCCATCATGACCAAGTATCCATGATACACAACAGTTCTCCATTCCCTGTTTACCGAGTATTTCTCTTACTCTCCGATCTCGCAGCAGATCAACTCTCTCCTTTCCTGCATCAATCTCGGGCCATTGTGGCAATGATTCTTTAACGGATATTGTTTGTGTGATATCGTGGGCGATACGATTAACAAGATATGCACTGGAAATAACTTCCAGCGTTCTTCTTTGTTAAATAAACTCTTCACTGCCCTGAGTCCTGTTTTGAGCTGTTGTTGAAGACTTTGCTGAACCACTGGCAGACCATTTAGCTTTTCAATACACACTTTACATGGTGCTACAGCATCTGCGGGATGGTCTCTTGTTTCTAATACTGTGGCCATCACTCGGTACTGCATTGCTATGATGCAGTCAGTTGTTGATAGCGCTTCATTTGGAAAATCGGATTCCACTCATTTCGAAGCTTCAACATCCCCCCCTCTCCCCGGCTGAGTAACGCACAGGCATTTGACTGTCTTCCGGAGGAGGAGAGAAATTTTGAACCCTTCCTGGGTAGAGTGAGGAACTTAAACCAGAGCTGTCATGTGAAAAAGGCATTCTTTTTTCTCCTGGTCTTTCTTAGGACACTAGTTTCGAAATTCAATACTATTTTTACATGATTTGTACGCATCTTTGCGACTAGGGGTGAGATTCTTATCGCACATTCCAGATTATTGAAGAGCTGATGTGAAGAAAACGAACCACCGTGATTCAATACAGTTAAGTTGCACGCGTTGTATCGAGAGAATGTTATTAAGGAAAGTCATGAACAATGCCATTTTGTGATATCCAAGGCTTGCAAGAAAGAAATTTGTTTCTAAATATCTCCTTGTAGTTTCAGTCAGTTTTTTGCGTGCCCTAACTCTATCTTTTATTTTTGTTGTCCTGATTTCTTTCTTTATCAAATAGAAAACCTCGAGCAACTCCACGATGTAAGTCAGCTCCTTCTTGTAGGCGTAAGAATACAGTAAAGTCTGAAAGCTCTAATGAATCAGGGTAATACATAGTAACTTTCACGGTTTCTCTTCATCTTTTTCTTTCATTTCTACTTCAAAACTCTAATCTTTCTGTTCGCTCTATACCCATCTCAGTCATTTCGTCCCATCTTTCTATAAATTAATCGTTAATTCACGACTGCCGATCAAAAAATTCAAATCAAACGCACGAAGTGCATTTGATTCGAATTTCTTTATCGGCCTAAGTGACAATTGTGAAAATTGTAGTTTCGTTTAGGGTGCGCAAAGCGGATCTCAATAGAAATTAGGACTATGCTATACAGTTTCCTGTTCTCACAAACGCAGATGCACTTATGAAGTTTTTTGATCATTTTACCCTAACTTGTTATCAGTTGACTGTCGTTGGGTTAGGGAAGGGGTAGGTGTGCATTTTCTCCGACAGTGATTCCAAGTTCGGTTTTAAAGTCACAAAGATACTTATGTAAAGCGAAACCAATTTTTTCCAAGTTTGGTTTTTTTCTCAAACTTCTTGTAGAAAGCGCAATCTCTTTTTACTGGATACCAGCTTACTCCATAGGAAGTCACTTCGGTTTTTTTTAGCTCCTCTTCACGATACGTTTGACTTGCTACAACTGAATAGCATACACTTGATTTCTACTTTGTACATAAGTTTATCTTCTACACTCAACCTGTTTAACTCTATCTTCCTTAGTTTGACTCCGTTCTCGATTTTTTTCATCCTCTCCAAACATCGTGTTTGATTTCCAGATCAGTTATTCAACTCTACGAAATCGTTCTAACCTAGCAAATTCTAACCGAACGTGCAAGATTCTAAGGGACTCTTCGCGCCGACTGACCTTACCTCAAATCAAAGAGCGTGAAGCAGCTAAAGCGATTTGTTGTACGGTTCTCTGTTTATTAGTACTAACAGCACTGATTAAAACTTCGAAGAATTCATTCGCACTGTAGAAATATTCAGTTAGCCACACATTCAGTTAGTTTACCGCTTCTACGAGCTGTTAATCAAACGAATTCACAGTCAAGGGTTACAGATCTATTTTTTGACCACGGTGCATAACAAACTTTTTTCGTTATCAACACAGCCACGCTAACGTTCTGAAATACCTTTCATTCCAATGTTTTGTGCCATCATGATGCAAAACTCACTTTTGTGAAGACTGCCAAATATCTGCTAAGTAAAATTTAAAAACGAATAATAGGCAATGATAAATCAATCTTCTGATTACAAAAAAGATGAAATAAAGTGGCAATTGAACTTCATGTCAATTTTGGTCTAGACTCATACTTGTGATTTCAAGGCAAATCATGCGTATGATTTCAGACCAAATTGAATTCCACTTACTTCAATTACCATTATAAATTAAGTTATTGCGGTGAACTTGTATCCTGCGGTTTTTTCCTTTTTGTTTCGTCGTCAAAGTTTTGGTGTACAGGAAAACAAATTAGTGGCGCTGCTTTTGTTTCTTGTTCAGTAGCCTGCGGTGAATATAATCAATCAGCCTTGTCGTTTGAACATTTTTATGACATTCATTTTGGTCATCGTAGCGGTTAAGGGTCCGTAAGATGCTAAAGATTGAAAGTTTGAAAAGAAAATTGATGTAGCAAAACTTTCAAAGAGGTTACTGTCAACAAAATAGGGTGCCTCTTGGAAAAATCGTCTTAAGCGCGGTACTTATAAAACAAACCATGAAGAACTATACTTTATAAGCTCCATCACTATGGAGCTTATAAAGTATAGATTCCGAAAATAGCCAAAGTTGTCACAGTTTTTGTTTTGGTGGGCACACAACTTAAAAGCTTCCTCGATCTAAAAAGGGAAAGAAAGCGAGAAACTTGAAAGAATTTTGACCAGATTTTATTGGCAGTGACCTTAAATGAAACATTCAGAAGATCGATAGTAAATCGACTTTATGTACAGTCCCTTCAAGTATATGGCATGGCGCTCTGGTCTATCCTTATTTGTGTGTGTGAATCCGGCATGCATGGATATAAAACATATTGCAGTTTCGATGTTTCGTCCATTGTTCGCGGTGCTGTGGCAGTCAGAGCTTCACAATATAAATGAATACATCCGTCGTCATACCTCAAAACTTAGTATTTCTCTTCAGTGCGTCTGAATCGAAGGCATTAAAATTATTGACTCGGTGATTGAAACACCAGTAAGTCGCTCTCTTCTCTAACACTGTTTCAAAAAATCCACACAGCATCTGTGAACAAAATCGAACATGACTTCATAATCTGAAATGTCTCCATAGTAAGGATCGCGTATTATCAACTCTCCTTTAGATCATATGTGCCAAACAGTTTCACCTCCGCCCGCGCAGTGCCGTCATTTGGTTTAAAATTTTCATTCAGATCTCGCACATTGCTCTCGTCAAAGGCCAATATTAGATACCTTTCGAAGTCAATTACATCGTAAGTCGTGAATGAGATAACATGAAACATGTATACAGTGTCAGCAGTCGGAATTATCCAGCGAGCAAAGCGAGTCACGTCAAACGTCGTCCAAGGCCATATTGATCACCCTTAGTATTTTTGTAGGCAATTTAGTGCTAACAACAAGGTTAAAAACGTAAATTGGCTGACGTTTCGAGCGCTAACCCTTCGTCAGAGCGATGGACCAGGGGCTAACGCTCGAAACGTCAGCTTTTTACTCTTTACGGTGGCCAATTTACGTTTTCAACTCAGTAGTTAACACCAAATTACCTTCTATACTCTCCCACCGACGCAGCACCAGAAAATTGCCCCCTTTTATTCAGTACTTTTGTATGTGGCAATAAAAAATCAGACCACGCATCTGCAAATGCTTCTTTTTAAATCACACAATCACAAAGCTAAATGATACTGCTAGTGAATTAATGTATCAGAGAATATATGAACAACTTTTAAATCTTTCCGGAGAGGTTTCAAAAAGACCTCGACTTCTCCAAGAAATCCGAGTAGTTTTTAAAATATATCTCCTAGACCAGCCGAAGAATAATGTGCAATAACGGTCTATCAGCGCTTAAACTGAACGCTCAAAAATGCAAACGGTTCAACAATTTTATGAATCATTAGTTGGAGCCAACTTTCACATAGCTCACGACTAAAGCTACTTCCGACAACGTGCGAAAATTAAAAGTAAAGGAAAAGGAATTTGTTAAATCAATAGTCCTTTTTATCAAACTGGAGACGGGAGTAATACAAAGAGGGCGGGAGTTGGGAAACAAAGGGCCGCAAAAGAACGGGAGGTGGGAGAACGTGGTACGGGAAGTTGGAGGCTGTGGGGCAAGAGTTGTATTCGAAGTTCATCGAAATCATACGAGAAAGAAGAACCTAAGAGAAAACAAGAACAAATTCAACAAGTGGTAAGATTTGATGATAATTGACCATATTTTAATTTCCACTAGATACAAAAAAAAATTACACTTTTCATCAGCGGGCAAGATGTAACTCTTGCCCACTCGAGTAGCCAAGCAAAACAAAGGATTCGCATCATCTCACCCACGTGCTCCGCCAGCTATAAAATAATTAGCATTAACTGACAAGTTTGATTTGATCTACAAGGATCATTATCCTAATATTTAACCATCTAAATTGGTCTCATTTGAAAATCGTCGTGCAGGAAACAACAGCCTAATGAAATACTAAATTTGATTAATGAAACATTCGACAAGAAAGCAGAAGTGTTCAAAACTACTTAAGCAAACATTGGGCCTATCACAGCAGTAACTTTCCACGCATTATGCTTAAAAGACGGATAAAGGCTAATGTTAAAATTATCGAAATATAGGAACACCATGATTAAAATAAAAAATGACGCACTTGCATTTAAGGGAGACTGGATATCAACACTTTCACTTACAGAAGGTAATCACATTCGACTTCTCCTTACAATATCCATATATTATCAAGTAAACAGGTAACAGGAACAAACAAATATCTCAGCTTATTGCTGAGTAATTATAAGACATGTCACCTTGGCATGATATAAAAAAATTATTTCTTCGCATTACAAGGAGTTATATGGCAGTTACAATGTGGAATTTTATTAATACATCTAAAGAGGTGAGGACCACAGAGCTGGTTGCCAAATAAGCATCATATCTCTAGCTAAGCCTGGAGCCACCAATAAAGTTCCTACATGATTAATTATGTAATACTTATTTTCCATGAAAATTGCAAAACTCCATCGCATCTGTTCGATTAAATAATAGCGCATCAAAAGTTGATAAATTGAGGCTATAAAAGCTTTCATTTTGGGCATAAAACTTTAGTCTTAAGTTACATCATGCTGTGTGAAAAATAAAGGCATTGTGCTTATTATGTTAATTGCATGATTATTGTGCAAAACACCAATTTATCCATAATAATAATTAGTCTATTAACTAAAAGTGAAAGTAAGAAGGGAAAATCAGTACATTAGTACGTTTTTAAGATAATTATTACTTTAGGTTTTGAATCGTCAAACATGATTGATACTGCAACGCGTCCCTCAGAAGTCACTGCAATCCCAAACGGAGCTATGTTGAACTCTCCGAAATGGATCGAAATACTTTGCATCAACTTACCATCATTGTCTATTTCTATATACAAGATGTCTGAATTCATACCCTTAACACCAGCTATGACGACTTGTTTACTTTCCCTGTGAAATGCAACTTGTAAAGATCTTAGAGCCTTTTCCAGATTAAAACTGTGCAGATGGTCACCTTGTTCGCTGAATATGTGAGCACACGACGGATCCCCTTTTTCCACCACCATAACTTTGCCATCACTTACAGCAGTGATGTCGTACGGGTAACTCAAGATTTTTTCTCCAAAACTGCAAACAAAATGACCATCAGTCTCATATACATCCACAAAAGACCATTTCTTTGTCCTGTCACTCTTCAGTACCACCACTTTACCACTATCACTGACTGACAGTTTACACAGCTTAAAGTCGAATTCCGTTGTCCTGACAAGAAAACTGTGATGCTGTTCAGCTCTTTCGTTAAAATTAAAAATCCAGCGCTCACGACTCGACTTTTCTTTGACTAGCATATAAATGTTGTTATTCATGTCTGTGGCCAGATAAACCGGCCAGCTGTCAATCGATAGCTCTTTACCGCTGTCATCAATAAGAGGAGGAAGTCTGAAAAGTCGCACAAACTTGCCACTGTTGTCAAACACCTTGATTGTCAAGCCACAGTCTTTTAAAATACAATGCCCGCTTGAGTTGCCCGCCACTCGGATTATTTAACCCGTGCTCCTCTTTGCCGTTATGACCAAGTATCCATGATACACTACAGTTCTCCATACCCTCTTTACAAAGTATTTTTGTTACTCTCCGGTCTCGCAGCAGATCAAATTTCTCTTTTCCTGTATCAATCATGAGCCATTGTGGCAATGGTTCTTTCTGGGATACTGTTTGTGTGACATCGTAGGCGACACGATTGACAAGACAGACACCGGAAATAACTTTCCGTTGTTCTTCTTTGTTAAATAAACTCTTGATTCCTGTCTTGAGCTGTTCTTGAAGACTTTG